CAGAGTGCAGGGTGTCATTTGCCTTGGGATGACGGTGTGATATTCCCCAGCCCCTTGGTCCCAGAATTTTAGTCTCCCAGTTCCCAAGCTCCTGCTTGAAGTGTACCTCTTCATTCTGCAGCCATTGCCTGCCCAGTCCTCAGTGCTCCAGACTGGGGAGAACTGAACTGCTCCCATCTCCACGGCAATTTTACCTTTGGCTCCACGTGTGCCTTCTCCTGCCAGACGGGGTTTGTGCTGATGGGGCCGGAGCGTCGGGACTGCACGGCCATGGGGACATGGACTGGAGACATCCCACACTGTGAAGGTACTGCTGCTGTCACAGGCCTCTGGTTGACCATGGAATGTTCTCCAGTGTCGTGGTCCTTTCATTCCAACAGTTTATCCTTGTACTCCCCAGACTCCTGCTTGAAGTGTGTCTCTGTTCTTTCAGCCATCACCTGCCCTGTGCTCAATGCACCAGACCAAGGAGAGTTGAACTGCTCCCATCTCCATGGGAACTTCACCTTTGGTTCTACATGTGCCTTCTCCTGCCAGAAAGGGTTTGTGCTGATGGGGCCAGACATCTCTGAGTGCATGGCCACAGGGACCTGGTCTGAAGACACTCCACGCTGTGAAGGTAGAGCTACTGCTAGAGCTCAAGGTGTCACTGGCCTTGGGGTCACACTTGGGTTTTTCCAAGCCTCTCAGATTGAACAGTTTAGCCTCATAGTATCTAGGATCCTGCTTGAAGTTTTTCTCTATCCTTGCAGCCACTGCCTGTCCAGTGCTCAATGCTCCAGACTGGGGAGAGCTGAACTGCTCCCATCTCCATGGGAATTTCACCTTTGGCTCCACGTGTGTCTTCTCCTGCCAGATGGGGTTTGTGCTGAAGGGGTCAGAGACCCGTGAATGCATGGCCACAGGGACCTGGACTGGGGACACCCCACAGTGCAAAGGTAGAGCTGCTTCTCAAGGTGTCACAGGCCTTAGAGTGACCATGAGATGCTCTTGGGTGTCTTGGTCCTCTCATTCCAACAGCTGACCCACGTAGTCCACAGACTCTTACTTGAAATGTGCTTCTTTACCCTGCAGCCATCACCTGCCCAGTGCTCAGTGCTCCAGACCAGGGAGAGCTGAACTGCTCCCACGTCCATGGAGACTTTGCCTTCAGCACCATATGTACCTTCTCCTGCCAGATGGGGTTTGCACTGGTTGGGTCAGAGAGGCGTGAGTGCATGGCCACAGGGACGTGGACAGGGGATGCAACACGATGTGAAGGTAGAGCTGCTGCTCAAGGTGTCTCAGGCCATAGGTTGACCTGGGATGTTCTTCAGTGTTTTGGTCCTTTCATCATAAGAGTTTAGCATTGTAGTCCCCAACCTCCTTCCTGTTCTTTTTTGCCATGCAGCCATTGCCTGCCCAGTGCTCAGTGCTCCAGACCAGGGAGAGCTGAACTGCTCCCACCACAATGGCAGCTTCACCTTTGGTTCCACATGTGCCTTCTCCTGCCAGACAGGGTTTGCACTAGTTGGGCCAGAGAGCCGTGAGTGCATGGCCACGGGAGTCTGGACCGGGGACACACCACAATGCAGAGGTATTGCTGCTGCTCAAGGTGTCACATGCCTCAGGTTGACCATGGGATGTTCCACAGAGGACCCTCTTGGTCTTCTTGTTCCAACAGTTTAGCCTCATAGCACCCAGGCTCCTGCTTGAAAACGTCTCTCTGTCCCTGCAGCCATTGCCTGTCCAGTGCTCAGTGCTCCAGACTGGGGAGAGCTGAACTGCTCCCACCTCCATGGAGACTTCGCCTTTGGCTCCATGTGTGCCTTCTCCTGCCAGACAGGGTTTGCACTCATGGGGTCAGAGAGCCGCCAGTGCACAGCCACGGGGACATGGACAGGGGATGCCCCACGTTGTGAAGGTAGAGCTGCTGCCAGAGTGCAGGGTGTCATTTGCCTTGGGATGACAGTGTGATATTCCCCAGCCCCTTGGTCCCAGAATTTTAGTCTCCCAGTTCCCAAGCTCCTGCCTCAAGCGTACCTCTTCATTCTGCAGCCATTGCCTGCCCAGTCCTCGGTGCTCCAGACTGGGGAGAACTGAACTGCTCCCATCTCCATGGCAATTTCACCTTTGGCTCCACGTGTGCCTTCTCCTGCCAGACAGGGTTTGCACTCATGGGGTCAGAGAGCCGCCAGTGCACAGCCACGGGGACATGGACAGGGGATGCCCCACGTTGTGAAGGTAGAGCTGCTGCCAGAGTGCAGGGTGTCATTTGCCTTGGGATGACAGTGTGATATTCCCCAGCCCCTTGGTCCCAGAATTTTAGTCTCCCAGTTCCCAAGCTCCTGCCTCAAGCGTACCTCTTCATTCTGCAGCCATTGCCTGCCCAGTCCTCGGTGCTCCAGACTGGGGAGAACTGAACTGCTCCCATCTCCATGGCAATTTCACCTTTGGCTCCACGTGTGCCTTCTCCTGCCAGACGGGGTTTGTGCTGATGGGGCCGGAGCGTCGGGAGTGCACGGCCATGGGGACATGGACAGGGGATGCCCCACGCTGTGAAGGTAGAGCTGCTGCCAGAGCTCAGTGTGTCGTTGTCCTTGGGGTGGCACTAGGATGTTCCCCAGCCCCTGGTCCCAACACTGTAGTCTCCCAGGCTCCTTTCTGAGGTCTGCCTTTTTACCCTTGCAGCCATCAAATGCTCAGCACTGACCACCCTGAAGATGGGCCAGGCTTCCTGCTCCCACCCGTTTGGGGACTTCACCTTTGGCTCCACGTGTGCCTTTTCCTGCCAGAAAGGGTTTGTGCTGATGGGGCCAGAAAGCCGCAAGTGCACAGCCATGGGGACCTGGACTGGGGACACCCCACAATGCAAAGGTAAATCTCATGATCTCACACCTGTCTGGGAGTGCTCTGTTGTAGCAGACTGCTTTCCCCAGTGCCTCAGTCTATGTCAGTTCATCCCCTGGCTTCCCAGCCCAAGTGTCCCTGTCTCACTACCATCAGTCCTGTCCTCTAATACTGCTGCTGTGCTTTATCTCCAGCCATCAGCTGCCCAGTGCTGGACCCCCCCAGCAGAGGCCAGCTGAGCTGCTCTCACGTTCATGGGAACTTCACCTACAACTCCACGTGCACCTTTTCCTGTGAGGAGGGGTTTGTTCGGATGGGAGCAGAGGTGCTCTGGTGTGAGGCCACAGGGAACTGGACCAGGCATCCTCCTGTCTGTGCAGGTATGGTGGGACCCCCTGCTCCTCTAGTGCTGCGGGGGGGTCCAGCTTTCTTGCAAGTGCATCTTGAATGTGGTGAGGGCACTCCAGGGGCTGAGAAGTCCTGGCAACTTTCTAACTTGGAGGTCTGTGGATCTGTTTCAGAGGATGGTGCCTTCTTAAAGCAAGTCCTGGCTTACAGCAGTGGCACAGCCCTGACAGTAGCTGGTCTTGTGCTCTCTGGGGGGCTCATTGCCATCCTTGCCAAGCGCCTCAGTGACAGAGGTATGGAAACACCTCCCACAGCCCACAATAGCTTTGTCCAGGGGCTCTCAGGCAAGGTGGTTACAGAGTCCCTGGGGAGGGTGGGATGATCAGAAGAGTTTAACAGTGTGACTGCCTCAATCCAAGTGTCTTATTTGCTGCAAGTTGCATGGTTCCGTGGCAGTTTGTTGAGCTGAAAGTGTCAGCAGCCAGCTTTGGAGGGTAGAGCCAGATAAACACCCTCACTGTGAAGAAGACAGGAAATGCTTCTGCCCCTCCCCGCTCCATCCCATACTTCTGCTCCAGCTTTTCATGATCTTCACTAAACATCTGGTTTCTTCTTTTCTATCTGTTCTGTCCCCATGGATATTTCAACACCATTATCAGAGGAGAAGAAGAAGCTCCTGAACCCCACCAGGTGAGAGCCATTCCCTGTGACTCTCACAGCCCAGTGGTCACTGTTGTCACTCAGATCTGCCTGTGTGAGGCTGCTTTTATATGCAGTGGGAGCATCTTGGGGGCTGACAGGGCTGTGTTAACACCTGCCCTTCCCACACTCCTGCACTGTCCAAGGTGACACCCTTGTGTTTGCCCTGCAGTGACCTAGGATCACCAGGCATCTTCACCAACGCAGCATATGATGCCAACCTGTGAGGTGAGTGCTGTCAAGACACAGCACCCTGTTCAAAATTCACCTGAGCAGCCATCCTCCTGGCTGGAGTGCTCCCAGGTGGGGACATCCTTGGGGACCAAAGTGGGTAACACCAGCTCCATCTCTTCTGTGCTTCCAGCCTGCCCATGACTGAACCCCACTGTGTCCCCCAGTGCTGCAGGCCCAGCAGGAGCTGCTGCTGGGGCCCAGAGGGACTCCATGCCTAGAGCTGCAGCCCAGACCAGTGCTGCCTGTGGAGACTGTGCCCACACTGCACATACCACCAGGAAGGGAAGCTGCCACCAGGAAAGGTGGCTGGAGACCTGTCTGGGGCCATGGGCCACTGTCTCATGTGGGCAGCCTGCTGCTCAACCCCTGGACGTTCCCTGTGAATTTGGACATTCCCCCTCGGCTGCCCCAGGGACAGGCTTGTGTCAGCAGGGCCCAAATAAATGCCTGTGTCCAACCAGTGTCTCTGTGTGCTTGGGAGGGGGGGAAGGTCTCCATCAAATAGTGTGGCCAACAGGACCAGGGAAGTGATTCTTCCCCTCTAGTCGGTGCTGCTGAGGCTGCACCTCGAGTACTGTGTCCAGCTCTGGGCCCTTCAGTTCAGGAAGGACATTGAGGTGCTGGAGCAGGTCCAGAGAAGAGCAACAAGGCTGGTGAAGGGACTCGAGCACAAGTCCTATGAGGAGCAGCTGAGGGAGCTGGGGCTGTTCAGCCTGGAGGAGGCTCAAGGGAGACCTCATCACTCTCTACAGCTCCCTGAAAGGAGGTTGTAGCCAGCTGGGGATGGTCTCTTCTCCCGGGCAACTAGCGACGGGACGAGAGGACAGAGTCTTAAGCTGTACCAGGGGAGGTTCGGGTTGGATATTACGAGGAATTTCTACACAGAAAAGACGATTAGACATTGGAATAGATTCCACAGGGTGGAGTCACCGTCCCTGGAGGTGTTTAAGGAAGGAAAGACTGGATGTGGCACTCAGTGCCATGATGGTGCTGGGTCACACATTGGACTCAGATCCTAGCTGATTCTGTGACTCTGGGGGGTGGGACAGCGAGCCGCGGCCCTGTGAGCCCCGTAAGGGCCCCGTAAGGGCCCCGTAAGGGCCCCGCCCCGCCCAGTGTCCGGCGGCGGCCGCCGTCGGGGGCGGTGCTGCCGGAAGCAGACGTGTGTTTCGGGAGGAAAGGGAAGCGATGGCGGCGGCCAAGGCCGAGTGGGAGCCGGCGGGGCTGCTGCCGGCTGCGGGGGGCGGCCTGGACTGGGGTGAGCGGGGCTGGGGGGGCCGAGGCGGCGCGGGGTTCCCCGGCCGGGTCGGGCCGGCGCTGAGCCCCTTGTCTCTCCCGCAGAGGCGGTGCTGGGCGAGGAGCTGAGCGAGCTGCTGGGCGCCGCGGCCCCGAAGGACGAGCCCGACGTGAGTACCGGGAGGGGACGGGGGCGGCGGGGGCCGGGCTGCCCGTTCGGCCAGGGGGGTGACCCGCGGGGATCCCCCCGGGGCAGCCCGGCAGGAGACCGTGGTTTCCCGGCCTTCACCCTGCGTGAGTCATTGGGATATCGATCGCTTAACAAACTGTGCGTCTCAAGGCCGGAGGTTGAAGGTGTAAAGGGGAGAGTCCAAGGCGAGAGCTGGAGGTGCCGTGCCCAGGAGGGGCGGTGCTGTCGCTGCCCCAGGGAAGGTGAACCCCGCAGGGCAGCGCTGCGGGAGGGGAGAAGCGTGGGCGCGTTACACCTGCATCCATCGGGGCTCGGCTTTACCACCCTGCCTGTTAGATGGCTTCGTGTTTTCTGCTTTACTGTAGGATTTTCTCCAAAAACCTTTGCTTGCAACCTTATGCATTAATCCCCGTGTATTTTGCTGTCCAGCTGCACATACCACTTTTTCTTTCCCTGGGCACCTGTCTCGTGGATTCTCCATTCCATGTTCTTCCTCTTGCCTTCTCTGTGTTCACTGTGTCCTGACTCATCTCCAGCACAACCCCTGGATTATCCAACATAAATCTCAGGCACTAAGAGCCTTCCTACAGGTGTTGTAGAGCCACTGACTGGAGAAAACGTTGGAACTGCATGATTGTACAAGGGAAAGGTAGTGCCCGTCAGCAGGTTGGCATTAGTTGCCTGTGTGGAGGCTCTTACTGCACAGCTCGGGCTGTGGGTTTTTGTCATTCTTCCTATCAATGTACTCTGATGAGCTTTCTCTTCATTCTGACTTGTAAGTAGTAACATCTGTGCAGACTTTTTGAGCCTCCCTTTGCGCCCAAGTCGAGAATGTAAGGAAAAGGTACACTTGCAGGATGGTTTTTAGTAAGAAAATCTTTGCCGTGTGTTTGTGTGAGTTGGGTATGTCATGTTTGTTTTTTTCATGCAAGTGCTCATAAAATGCCACATTTGCATAGAGAACTGGGACTTACAGATGCACAAGCACAAAAAAATGGAGCAAAACTCCCAATTGTTGTTTTAAAGGTCCCATGATAAATCATATGTATGAAGTGATTTTAATCTTTTTTTCTTGTTTGTTTGTTTTTATTTTTGTTGGAAAAGGAAATTGGGGTCCTTGGCTTTAGAAAATGATGATGTCAGTTTATTCAAATATAGGGAGACCTTATATATACTGTTCATCAAGTCTTAAACAAATCAGTACTTGTGTCTCTTTTCCTTCTGGTAAACCGTCCCTAATGGTGCTTTTGTTTATAAGATGCTTTGAGATGTAATGATGGAAGGACATTAAATAAATTTTTCAAGGCAGACCTGTGTTTTGTTTGAGGTGGTTCAATGAGTGGACTTAGAATTTTTGGTTTAGAAACTACCAATAAGGGTATGATAATTAGTGATGGTCTTAAACTGACATGCTCCTTTCCTACTGGTCTAAGGTTTAAAATAAACCTTGTTTTGTATGTTCCAGTTGAGAAATTCTCCTTTAAGGACTTTTATCTCTGCATGCCTTAAGGCAACTGAAGTGGTAGTTGTATTGTTTGGTTTTGCTTTCTGGAGCTGTAAGAATGTGCACATAATGGTTGGTGGTGTCAATGTATCTTTCTTTTTGTCTTGTCTCTTTTTCTGAACTGTCATTTCAGGAAAATGATCTCTATAACTTTCATTTTGATTTGGATTTGATGTCTTGGGACTCAGACCTTTGGAATATTACAGGCCATGCTTATACAGGTAATTAATCTTCTGTATTTTGCAGGTGTGACTCTTACCCCTCTGCCCCACAAGGGTGAGCTGTTACAACTTAGTGGTAACTTATGTGAAGCTATTCACTTCCCTACAGCTGTGTTATGAGAAGTTGTGCTGTGTAGGGCAGATACAGCTGGCAAGGACTGCCCTACAAGCTAAGCTGTTTAGTACCTTTAGTTTCACTATGTTTTCTGCTGTGCTTTGCTTCAGGAATTAAATAGCTGGTGTAGAGCAGTGTGTTCTTTACTGATCTCTCCTTGCTAAAAACTTGTGCAGTAAAATTTCCTTATCTGCCTCTTGCAGATGACAGTGTGAAGACAGAACCCTTATCACCAGCCACTTCAAACTGTTCGGTCCCTTCTCCGTCGTCTGTGGACTCTCCAGTGCAGAATGTGCCTGTATGCAGAAACCTCCATGTGATACATATAGCAACAAAAGCCCAGTGATTTACTTTTCTGATCAAATTCGTGGCATAAGAGGAAACATTTTTCCAACCCGTGCAAAAGCACCTTTCCTTCAATGGCGTTTTCTTACCTCTCTGTGACCCATTCGAATGAGAGCATGTTCAGTTCCGTTTCCTCAGTTATGTTTACTAGCCTGGTTGCCAAACAGAATGCCTTCTAAAGGCTTCTGAGTCTAGCAGTTGCTGGCCTCTGCCTTGCACTGCTCTGCTGATGGGCAGAAGTACTTGTTGGGGTTTTTTTAGTGGTACTTGGCATTGACCAGGATAAAACTGCAGAACAAAACCTTTCTCCTGTTTGCTGCAGCAGCAACACAGAAGTGATGAAAAGCAGATATACTCTGAAGTGCTAGTAGACACTTCTTTGTGTTTCTGAAGCATTAATCTCATGTACTTTCTGTCTGCAGGATGATGTGGACTTCAGCTGTAGCTCCCAGATGTCTCCCGTCTCTCTCTACAGCAAGAGCTGCAGGAGCCCTGCATCCCCCGAAGGAGATGGGGGGAAGAAGCCTGCTGTCAGCATCTCTTCTCGATCTGGTATGAGAGATAGAGCTACTTTGATCCCATAGATAGTATGTGCTTTACTTTGATCCCATAGATAGTATGCGATTTACTTTGATCCTATAGCTAGTACTTGTGTTGTATATGAATGATTAACTAACAGACTATAGATATCCTGTCATTTCTGACTTGAATTTTTGATCAGATATCTTTATTTTTAACAAATATTATAGATAGGTAAAATACCCCCATACCAAAAGCCATTTTATTATTGCTTGAATTCTTTATTTTATGCCTTCTGTTCTGACTTTTTTTCCTTTTCTAGGAAATAATTCTGTGAGGAACCTGAAGAGGTGTAGTCAGACAGTGTCCAGGCCTTTGATACAACCCAAACCCCTTTTGCCTGCTGTGCCTGAAGCTCAGGCTAACATTGGTGTCCCAGCTAAAACCATCATTATTCAGACTCTTCCCATGCTTGTACCACTGCCAAAGAGTCAGCCAGTTGTTAACATTCAGCCAGCACCTCCTAAAGGTAGGTGAATTGTCCTGACTGAGCCAGGTCTTGGGGGTAACTTTGTCTGTTCGGGTTGGCTGACAGAATGAAGTGAGGTTTGGTGCATGAAAGGGAAGGGGTAGGAGAAAAAGGGGTCCTACATGCTTGGCTGAAAAAGCTTAAGGCTGAGAAGGTGGCCTTACTCCTCTCATAGAGTCCTATGAGAAAAAATCCTTACCTGGGTGTTACTTGGAAAGGAAGACACTGGATTATAATAATTCCGTTATTTGGAATGGAAGACAGAGACTGTGCTGAGCTGTGGAGATAAAACTGCTGATTGGGAAAGATCTGTAGGGACCCTCTGCTGTGCTCTGCTTGTGATGTCAGGTGGTGCATAATGTGGTTACAGTGCTGTTCTGTTGTAACCAAAGGAAGGTCCAGCAGAATCAGGGTGGGTTGAATGAAGCTGGAAAGTTTGGGGAAAGTGGTAAAAGCTTTTTTTTTTTTTGCCCGCATGAAACTGCCACAGGATGGTGGGAACATGAGTTTATGGCTTTTTATCTCTCTAAACAGCATCAAATAGAATGCTGTGAAATCTGCTAAAAACTGAGAGCTGTGTCAGAGGTTAGAAAAGTTCCTTACAGCTGCAAGCTGATGCAAACTAGAGGCAAGTGATTTCCTGTCCCCTGATAATTCTTCATGCCTGCATAAGCCTAGGTCACAGTCAAAGCATAAGTAATTTCACAATCCCTAGAGTTTTGTGCAGTAAGGTTATTTGGGTGTTAACGTGATGATGAAGGTGTACTTG